CTCTTGATAAATGATAAATGATAAATGTTATATTCCTCGGTGTTTCGAGGTGCAGTCCAACTATGTGGTCTGATCAATGTGTACAACAAGATCGCAAAAATATAATCAATTTGTTCACGCTTTTTACAATGGATCCAAAAACAGGTACTAAACTAATTGGCAGGATTAAGGCATTAAAGAAATTAAAAAGCAGGAACAATAACGTAAGCAAATTTAAACAGATGTCCAGTTAAAGTAATACGGCCACTCGTGGAACCATCCCCAGGGGACCTGCTTCCATGCAAGGTATTCCCTCGAAAGGTTTCGCTCGCACTTCCATGCAATAACTGGCCGTGTGCCGGTGTGGTTTGCCCGCACTGATTAATCAATAGTTCTCCACTTCATGCTTTAAACTCATGTGTCATGTGAGTCATGTTGCATTGGTTCGTCTGATAAACTCTGTCTCGAACTGTGCCTTGTTCTTGACTAACTACGGACCAGGAACGTGTTTCGCTTGAATTCTGCACTACGGATTACTTGCTGGCTAATGGAGACTCGTTCACATGAGTAGGCAAAAGTGGAGGTCCTCCAGTGTTGAATCCTTCTGAATTTTAGTGGTTCACAACGCTGGAATTGTGTCTACCTGCTAGAGATAGATTATATTCGCTCAGTGAATTGGGATTCCGAGAATGCGGATTGGAGTAGTAGGGAGAGTTTAGTGGTATACGTGGAAATTCTTCACATCTGAACTCACTCAGACAGCCGTCACACGCTTGGGAAATCACTGTACGCGCGTTTCATCCTTTCAGGAATCATCAGCTGTGCGCATTCCATCAGAGCCAGGCAGGGCTCGAACCGGCAACTCGACTGTTGCCAGTGTCTGGGTGAGATCACTGGGCAACGGGGGACGGCAACGATCCTCGGAAATAAGTTACTAGATGAGATATAACGCCGCTCACTATTCACTGACTTACATGTTACTGCCGTGCAGGGAATTTGTCTGTCCGATGTTCGATCTATCTACTGCATGTAGGAAATCTGATTGTTATCCATATCACTGATAGTGAATTGAGAATGCCTGCCAACGCGCAATCTTTGCGGCTTGACAGTCCAGATTACCCAAACGCGAGTTAAGTACTCCTTGGTCTAACCCCCCATGAGGCAGTGATGTTGTGCACCGTATACATTGTTGTATTATTACTTCAAGTCCTGTATTCGAACACTCAAACCCAGCAAGGCAAATCAGTGGTCAAAGCTGGGCTAATTTTGTATATTCCACACTATATAACAGGTAGGTGGGGAACCTCGGTACTCCAATCATCTATGCTTTGGCCTCAATGTCCTTTATCACCTAGTGGATTGGTTACAAATCTAATTTAAATGGTATATTCATTGAGGGTGCAAGGCACAGTATAACAATGTAGTTTGATCAATGTGAATAGCAGAATCGCACAAAGTAAGTAGTTGTTCACGCGTTATAAAATGGATCCAAAATGGCAATTAAAGTAGTTGGCAGATTTGGGGTATTAACAAATTGAAAACCTGCGTACCATTTCAAATGAAGATTTGAACAAATGTTCAGATTAAGTAATACGGCTATCCGTGGAATCGCCCTCAGTGGAGTTGATTCCATGCAGGATAATATATCAAAAGTCTTTGCACACAATTAAATGCCCTCGCTGGTGGTGTACTGATGTGGCAAAATAGCATATGAGGCATTACCAGTTTGACATATGTTATGCTCTTTTTAGGACTGTTTTCCTGCATGCACTAGGGGGGATGAAACCTCAGCCCGATCCGTCATACGGATCACTCAATTATGGCAATCTTTTCTACGCGAGTCGGTCCATGGCTATGCGACTTACATGCGTATAGTCAATTATAGTTTGGAAGCTTAAGTCCGTCACAAGAGATCAGCCTAATCTTGGCCAACAATGAAATAATGAAAAATGGAAAAAAGTTAAAATTGAATACAAGTAGAATAGCGTCAATATCAAGGATAGGCAGATAACATGTTTACAGTAGCGCAAAATGGAGCAAACAGATCACGCGATGAAATTGCGTGGCTTAACCGCCAAAGTCAGATAACTGCATTAGTTGTTCAAAGGCAAACGGTACAAAACACGACTTTCGGATTCACTATCATTGGCAGGTATTGGTACAATAAATAATCCAATATGGCCAATCACCGGAATCCTATTGTGTGTAGCTGAACCGTTAAATCCGAAAAAAAGAGAATACGGTTATCATTATAGAACAAATGTGGTAAAGAGAATCGCAGAACAAATATTACAAATTAGTCAATTTGAGGGGGGATGCAGAAGATAGTTCTTGCTTTCATACCAGTAAATAATTTCGCTCTCGGTTTTAGTTCAGAAGACCGTTGTTACAAATAAGGTTTGAAAGGAGTAAGCCACATAAGAAGTTGCGGTAAAGAATAACATGAGCAACAGTTGTAACAGCTCAACCTAGATGATCAGGTTTGCGCTGGTGATTTTGTGGCACATATTACCAGTAGATGTTCTCAGTTTTCATACTTGATGCGGCCCGTATCCATACAGCTATTCATCATTAGGTTAAATTCTTAGGATTTATTTCATTTTGTCTGATGACAGATAAATATTCGCTTTTTGTACGTGTAATAATGTTCAATAGATCTAATCTCTTTTGGCAGCTTATTCCATATGGAGCCATAACTAAGAACTTCAAGATTTCTCCTTAGGCTGGTCCTGAATTTAAGTAAAGAGTATACTTTCACTGTCTCACAGTTCATAACCGATATTTTCTCGAAAGCGAAATTGATAAGATCCAACATTTGCTTTCCGCCAAGAGAGTTTGTTGAGGAATCACAGATGCAAACGCATTCTTCGCAAACACAGATTCAAGATTCAGCTCCCTGCACCAATCTCTATATGAAAGAGCGGTTGAATAACCCAATATGCGCTTCGTGAAGGTGCGTTGAAATGTTTCAATGACTCAAACCACACTTTCGCAGGTTTCTGTACCTTACACAGCAATACTCAAGCAAAGGTGTGATACTCATTTGAAAGCAATTAGTCTGATTTCTGGCAAGGTTAGCAGGTGGAATATGAGTCCGACCGCTTGCTTGGCCTTCTCCACGATATGATTTATATGTCCGCGAAAGTTTAACGAACTAGAATATCTTAAACCTAAGTCGCAGACAGACTGGCTGAGGGGAATGACTTCGTCCCGAAGTCTGGAAAATTCTGCCAACCTGACTGCGAAGTTGGATAACGGGCGCCGGATATGACAACAACGGTTTTATCGTCAGGTAACTGAATTTTGCCAACCCAAATCATGCTGCATGGTTGCTTCTCATTAGTGTTCCAGCATTTGTTCGGTAAATTCTTTTGCATGGTGCGTGTGTCGCCTGATTTCATATTGATGCCAGATCTTCGATGGTGTCTATCAGCGTGTCTGGTTGGAGGCATTCGATTCTGGATTGGTCTGTCACTGCGGCTTCCATATGTCAGCCACTGGTCGCCTGTGCCTACCGAGGGACCATGGGTGGCTTGCGCTGCACCACCCGCAACTCCATTCACACGCACACACACACACCTCAAATCCAGCGTAAGCCGGAAGGAATAAGACTGCGATGCCTGTGGATAGGCGCCATCTTTCATTAAACGGAGCCGGCTTACATACACTGCAACAGAATTCATGTCTATTTAATCTGGGAATCATACGTACCATATGTGCACAAGGCAGTGGCTGGACCGTACTCCGTCCCACATTGGTTACGTGGTACCACCCTTTGAGCCCTAGCATGCCCACGAGCACCGTGCACCCTGTCCCTCCCAGCATCGATTCACAGTCCTTTGGAGTCAGCAATCGTGGTGATGGGTGTTACACAGGTGGCATCTTGTCAACATTCACATCAAGCGGAGCCACACCAGGGATATAAAACAACCAATACAGAATATGAAAGCAAATCAACACGCAAACAGGACAGTATATGTGCAGCAGAATGACGGGGCTGGCTTGCCGAACAACCTCCTCGTGGTGCCAGCTGGGTGGTTCGGGATCATGCTGTTCCAGCGAGTGGTTCGGCGGCAGTGTTCCAGGACGTGGTGGGTTTTCGCCTGGCAAGCGTTCTCCCTATAAAAAGCCACATATGTCCGCTTAACAACACTGTGACGTGGCGGATGTGACTCGCCACTAAATAAAGTCACTGCCCCTTGCCTCTCTCTGAGTGGCATTGTAATTCAAGGGTGCGTTAGGCCCCTGGTCCTATGCGGTCCTAAAGGCGTATGAACCATTTGTTTGGTCACCGGCTCCCAACGGGTTGCGATACCCTCATATCGCCCTGCTGCCTTGTAGGTTAGATCCTTGATCAAAGGCTCGGGGTGGGGCCCCCTAAGACAACCCTCTACTTCGGCCTGGGCAACCGGGTAGTATCTCGCCCACTGACGAACCATGGACTTACAACACAACCTTTCACTCGCTGTCTTGCTGTTACCATGCTATCCACTCATGTTACTATGTCAACTGCACAAGCACACGTCACCATTTTACCTACTCTTCCCGTGTACCACTCACATCCATTTTTACCTGATTCCTCTACAACGATCAATCCCACCTACACTGATGAACCTGTTCCCGTGACATCTGCCAACTCAACCACACAGTACTCAACAGAGAGTTGCCGGCCCCAAAGTCGCCTATCTTCGCTCCTGCAACCCGGAACGCAGTTCAAACTTGCAGCTTTTAACGTACGCACATTATTGCAGATCGGTCAGCAAGCTGGAGTTACACGCACGCTAGAGACCCTTGGAATTGATATCTGCTGCCTGACTGAAACACGACTCCAGGACTCTAACTCGGTCTACCAGCTGGTGTCACCGCTCCATCCACGCACCCGGTTCCATCTCCGCCTCTCTGGTGACGCCGAGTCTGCCGCATCTGGGCAAGCTGGTGTTGGAATCGCCCTCAGCGCTAGAGCCGAGACTGCTTTGATTGATTGGATTCCGATCAATAGCCGCCTTTGTGCGATGAGGTTCCATGGCTCTTGTAAGGTCAGCAGATGTCGAGTCGAAAAGCGTGCTCTCTTTGTGATCTCTGCCTACGCGCCCACTGACTGTAGCTCAGACATCGTCAAAGACCAGTTCTACCAGAACCTTCATGAGCTGCTCCTAAGGGCTCCTAAAACAGACCTCATTGTTTTGGCAGGTGACTTCAACGCGCGTGTCGGTCGTCTGCTGCCATGTGAGCGCCACCTCGGAGGACCGCATGGATATGATGATGTTCGCTCAGACAATGGAGAGAGACTGCTCAGTCTTTGTGCTGATCATCAACTATTCCTCTCCAGCACCAGCTTTCGTCATCCTGGACGCCAGTACGCCACTTGGCGCCCCCCATCTTCAACCCAGCGCTGGTCACAGATTGACCACATAGCTATAAGTCGCAGGTGGCGCGGCAGTGTACGCGACTGCCGATCATTTTGGTCAACATGCGTCGACACCGATCATGCACTGGTGTGTGCGACCGTTTGCATGCGTTTTGGTGGTTCGCCTAGGTCAAAACACACCCGACTGAACGCCTACAATTTGGAGGACCCAATGGTGAAGAGAGATTATCAACAAAAGCTTCGCGAAAAGCTCCCTCTCTCTCGCACTCTGGATGTTGATCAACACTGGTCAAGTCTCCAGCAAGCCTTGTTGTCGGCCGGTTTGTCCAGCTGTGGCCTCACTCGCTCCACTCCCAAATGCTGGATCTCGGGAAGATCATCAGAATTGCTGGATCGTCGACGGGCGGTGCCTGCTGGCGCAGAGTACAACGAACACCGCCGGTCTATTACGCAACAGCTGAAAGCAAGCCTTCGCTCTGATCGTGAATCTTGGTGGTCAAAACAAGCTGGTGAGATGGAAGCCGCTGCATCAGCTGGCAACTCCCGCCGTCTGTTTTACATCATCAGGGCCACTGGTTGCAATTTCCATGCTATCAGCCAGACGATTTGCGAGGCAGACGGCACGAAGATCACCAACCTTCGCAGACGATTGGGTCGCTGGTCAGAGCATTTCGCTCTTCAATTCAACCACCCAACACAGTCCCCTGCGACACCTCCAGCCCCAATGTATGATGCTTGGCCTGTCTCCACAACCCCCCCCAAATGAAGCAGAGATACGAAATGTAGTCCAATCTTTGAAACGCCACCAGGCTTCGGGTCCCGACAACCTACCACCAGCTCTATTCAAAGATGGTGGGAGTGTATTTATCCGCGAAATCCTATCGCTGTTCACGAAAGTTTGGACTGAGGAGAAGGTTCCGAGCTCATGGGGAGAATCGGTCATTGTCCCGATTCACAAGAAGGGTTCCCGCGCCGATTGCTGCAACTACCGCGGAATCTCCCTAATCTCTGTCGCATCCAAAATCTTCGTGTCGGTCCTACTTGGCAGGCTTTCAACGACTAGAGAGGAGTTTTTTCGAGAAGAACAAGCTGGATTTCGTCCAGGCCGTGGCTGCATCGACCAAATCTTCACACTTCGGCAAGTTCTCGAACTTCGTCACATCCACCGGCGGCCAACAATCGTAGTGTTTTTGGACATCCGAGCGGCATTTGATTCAGTAGATAGATCTGCGTTGTGGAACTGTTTACTGAAGAAAGGTGTGCCCGACAAGTTTGTAACCATCCTGAAAGTACTTTACAGTCACACGTCGGGCAAAGTTAGGGCTTACGGCACGCACTCCTCTTCATTCGCTGTGACCAGCGGTGTTCGCCAAGGTTGCCCTATTTCACCTTTCCTCTTCAAGTTCGCCATCGAAGATGTTCTCCAAAGAGCACTGGAAGGTGTCCAGGACTGCGGTGTTGAGCTTCTCCCTGGAGACAGACTCACGGAATTGGACCACGCCGATGATATCGCCTTGCTGGGGGACGACCCACAATCCGTCCAGAACGCTCTGGACCGCTTGGCGATGGAGGCGTCTAAGTACGGCCTGTGCTTCACTCCGGGAAAATGTAAAACGCTGCTCCAGGATTGGCAGGTGCCTGAACCCGCGCTCACCATTGCTGGACATGTTCTGGAGCAAGTCCCTTGCTTCACTTACCTAGGGAGTTGCATCACGGCTGGTGGCGGTGTTGGAGATGAAGTCTCACAACGGATTGCAAAGGCCCGCCTTGCATTCATCAAACTGAGACATCTATGGCGTCGTCGTGATGTCAGTCTCAAGCTCAAGGGCAGGGTGTACAATGCTTCCGTCCGTGCAGTACTCTTGTACGGCTGTGAGACTTGGCCTATTCGCTCGGAAGATATGAAGCGGCTATCAGTATTTGATAATCGCTGTCTACGAAGGATTACTAGGGTGTGGTGGCAACACCACGTAAGCAACGCAGAGGTGAGAGACCGCGTGCTTGGGGCGAATAGTGCCAGTCTTCAAGACGTTATTCTCCGACATCGCATGCGCTGGCTCGGGCATGTTCTGCGCATGCCAGCCCATCGCCTTCCACGTCGAGCGCTATTTGCACTCCCAGGGAGCGATTGGAAAAAGTGCCGCGGTGGACAGCCGATGACGTGGAGAAGGAGTATGAAGAAGGCGACCTCAAGTTTGGCAGCAGTCGGACCAGTCCGCCTTCCAGGTTGGGGACCACGAGATGATGAATTGCAGTGGTTGGAAACATTGGACGTCATGGTCCGCAACAGACATCAGTGGCGGCAATGTTGTTCCGCAATTTCACCATCCCTTTGATACACACAAAAACTCACAAAACAAAACAAAAAAATACAAAATGGCGTGTGTAAAACCAAAAAAATTCGTTTCCCATATTTTTTAATCGCATTAGTGTCCCCATCTTCTTCACCTTTTTCTTCTGCCATGGTTCTGATGGCACAATGTCTGTTAACAGACTGTGAATAAATAAATAAATAAATATATATATATATATATATATATAGCAGAATGACGGAGCAGAGCAAATCAAAAATGTGTATCTTGTCTGATGTAGTGTATGGGTGATGTTTGAGGTGTAGAAGTCGGGAGATATCAACTGACTAAAACCCAGAGTGAAAGGCAAAATAAACAAGGGACATGAGCAACTAAAAGTTAATGGTTTTAATCAGATCTAATGTATTGCGGAACTAGCGTTCATATTAGCTGTTCTAGTCCAGCTGGGATAAAGAAGCATAATAAATGCAGCCTCAGCATGAGGTGCCTAATGCCCCTATTACATCACCGAAGTCGGACAAGAAGTTGGTGTGATAGGAATCAAAGGTATCCGCGACACACAGGCCATTAGATAGATATATAAATATATATATATATATATATATATATATA